CAATACTAGAAATGGCGCGCGCTTACGGTCTCCGTCCCCGATTATGGCTCCTGGTAGGCCCCAATGCCCCCTCCTACATGGCCTGCAACCTGCCCTCTGGTACAGTTTGTGTCTCCCTACATGACAAACTTACCTAACAGCCAAGATGGCGGAGTACTTTGATGAAGTTGTTCTCGATACAGAAGACTTAGAAAAGCTCTTTCAGGCGGCGACAGAATTTGTCAGAACTATGCGTAATTTGAGCGACGAGAAAAAGCTTGCTTTCTATGCTTTATACAAACAAGTTAGTCCATTAAATTTCTTGTAAACACCCTCTTTGTTAATAGCATTTCCCCAATTACTTTTTGTTTTTGAAAACCTGTCAGAACACATTTCTCTCATCATTTTCGGCGAATTGCTTCTTTTCTTTTTTATGAGTAAGGCAAAAGAAGGACCATGCAATACGTCAAGACCAGGATTTTGGGACATTGTTGGAAGGGCAAAGTGGTAATTCTTTTTATTTTTATTATTATTTTTTTAAAAAAAGTGGCAATTCTATGTCTTACATTAATATATATATATAAGTCTACATTTACAGACGTACATCCTAAGGAATTCCCTATCATTGGTCTGTACACAACATAATTCTCAGTGAATGAAAAGAGAAAGGATGGATCTTAAATTTGTTGGTACTTAGACCAATATTTAACCTGAAATGATACCAGTGTCCACATCAACCCTTCAGATTCCTAGAGTCATTATTTGTGCGAGTAGCACTTTGGCTGATAAATGAATGGATATCACCTACTTCACACAAATAGCTTAATTTTAGGTAGTGAAAACCCTTTCAGGATTCATGTCAAGATATCAATTGGTGAAATCTAGGAATACCTTATAGCTTGACAGTGGCTGAATTATGTAATATGTAATTGTTAGGTGGGGCCAAATGGGTTCTAAATTTTCCACTTTATGTGTATTTACTATTGACTCTTAGTTCTCTATCCCCTTTCAGAGCAGAAAAACGTAGTAAGCATGCAAGAGTTTTGACTGTGCACCAGGCTCCAAGTTTAAAAAAATGGCGAGAATTTTATTGATCGTGTAAACAAAAAAAAGTTACGAACTTTGTATGCTTTTCCAATATTCCCGGAAAGCAGCAACATTTTAGCATCACTAATGGAAAGCTAGTGTATTGTTTTTGTGGGGAATCAATCTTTTTCAGACAAAATCAACCTAAAGACGGTTTCCGAACCCTTTATATTCCCGCGGTATACCAGAAATTTTGTCGACAAGACACATTTTATCCACAAATACTCTTTACATATTGCATCCATATAAACAACCCACTGAATATATAAGCAAGAGAGCCTCTGAGCAGGTAGGGGGAGACTTGTTTTCTTTACAGTGAAATGCTGAAAAAAATTCATGCTCGCCCCGGTATGAATAAATCAACCGAGCGACATCCTCATGTACCTCATTAGAGTCCGCTGTTCCTTCCAACCACTGTGAACCATTGCAGCTTCTTGCAGCTTACATTATTACTTGGGTCCACAAGTAGAGCTAGGATAGGCAGAAAGCTACGCAGTAGGTTTTTCAGCTCTGAAGTACCCCCTTCCCTAGTAGCTTTTGTTTTGTAGTGATTTTTTTTCTATTGTAAAACATTATGCAATGTGATGTTATGATAGAAGTAACTTCTCTTTAATTTTCTCCTGAATCCTATCACCCTGTGAAACCCACTTCTTGTTAAATGTCTTTCCCCAGCTACCTCTCCTACTCCAATTAATTAATAGAAATTGTTCTCCCAGAATAGAGGTAGATCTCTCTGGCTAGGATTAGGAAATGAGTAGAAAACTGATTCAGGCTCAGTTTCTCAAAAGGAAATCAGAGTGCTCGAATATCTCCCACAATCTTTAATGGCTAATTCCCTCTTTGAGACGCACCTGCAGGAATCTTGGTAGTTGTAGTCGTCAAATTAAATATCCAGTTCAAGATGATGAATACAATAACCATGGTTTCCTTTAGGTAAATCTCAAAGGGGGAATTGGCTATTGTCATGTGAACTAAGTCGATCCTTGTATCTCTTATTTTTAAAGGGACTCATGGAAAAAGCTTGGAGAGATGTCCAAGCAAAAAGCCCTAGAACTTTATATCCAGAAACTGTTTGAAACAGACCCAGAATGGGAGGCAAAATATGCCGTCACTGATGACTTGGTGAGTTATTAATATTTTTGCAGTCCATATTGTCAGTCTTCTGTTCATTTGGGTTAAATTTGGGGTGAATTTTATTGCTAAAGGATCTGACACCACTACAAATTACCTTGCTGTACTCAAACATTTTGACACAGACTGTAAAGGAAAGTGAAAAACCTGCTCATAAGCAGACAATGGGCCTTGCTGTCAGCACTCTGCGAGGAGATGATGATGATGATGATATTATAAGGTCTGTACTAATAATCTACTTGTTTTGAAATAAGTTACTTAGACTAATTTACATTAGGGTGAATGATTCAGAAAAGAAACATGCAGGATCAGTACTTCATTGGTATAATTTGTAACCTGATCACTGCCCTGGTTTAACCAGAAACTGAAGTAGCCAGTGGGAAGAACTCCCTCATGTAAGCTATTCTGGTATATATGTGTGCTCTCTGGGATTAGATTTTTAAGCTTCTTGGTCAAAAATGGAGTCTCATTGCTTGTCTGATACTTCTCCTGTCTAATTTTGAAATATTTGTTGTTTCGACATGTTTTGTACAACTTATTTTATATTGGGAAAAGTTTTAGTCACAGTTTTTTATTGGTCACAGTGCCCTTTCATCGATGGCCATTTTAGGCCTACTTTCAGGGGACTATTTGGTCTGATATAATTATATACTAGATTTGTGGTAGTCAGTGAGCTAGCAATGACACACCTAGGACATTCCAAGAGTTTAACCCTTGGCTTAAAAACTACTGAAACCCTTCTGTTGAATTCTCAGAATGTCTGTGATTTGATTTCACTTCATAGTGATACTAACAAGTCAGTGTTTGATTGGTGCAAGGAGGGAAATGCAAAAAAGATGGATGCTCTGCTCACAAGAGAAAACATTAACAGCAAGGACGAACAGGTATTGGGCTGCTGAGCATACAAGGGCATATTTTTGAAAGGTTTATTGGTCTCGTTTTGTTTCTTCTGCAATTTTTTTTTTTTTTCATGCATCTGTATCCCATTTCAACACTCGTACATTTGAGCATTGTCATTTTTTTTTTCTGGCAAGAAGGTCACAGCCCCCCAAGTCAGAAGAGCTCTGCATGTCTGCTTATTTGTATCTGTTATTCTTAGGGGCTGACACTACTTCACTGGGCCTGTGACCGAGGTCATGAAAATGTAGTGACGCACCTAATAAAAAACAAGGCTGGAGTAAACACACAGGTAGAAATATCACTGAAAAGTTTTTTTTGTGGCTCTAAGGACTGAATGGTCTCAGCCTGTCAGCAGTTGGCCATTTCTTGACCAGCAATTAAATCCACAGAATTCTGATTAACTAATATTATTAAAAGTAGAGTTTTATTTCTGTCATGTTAGTTAAAAACTGGTAATTTCCAAGAGCAAGGTAGTGATCTCATTTCAAAAGCTTGTTTTTATAAGATTCAATTCAAAATACCAGTGTTTGTGAGTTCAGAGGACATTTAAAGGCAAATGGAATAATTAAACTCAAATCTGTGTACATGTAGTTACCTGGTCTTTCCACTTAAGACAATAAATCATTCCTACTAACTTTTGTTTCCTTGGTAGTTTTTTTTAGAGAATTGTGTACACTCTTGAGGATTCCTAGTTTTGTGTGAAAATGAGTCTATTTTTTTGTGGCTAATACACAAATTATGTTCAAAAAGTCAAGTCCGATTGCCTGAGGCTAGTGAATTTTACAGCCAGGCTAATGGATTCTATCCTTTGCTTGCTCAGTTGGCAATTGAACGTTTTGGGACAATTGTTTCAGAGGAAATTCAAATTACAGACATACGTACAGAAAAGGGATAAAATATTGTATTAGTTTACTCACTCTTTTTGACATGAGCCGCTGGGGGTACCGGGGAGTAAAATTTCAAATTATTTAATTGTACTAGAAAGAAGTGTTTTGGGGGCTAGTGAGAATGATGTCTGGGCAAGCCTGAGAAGTGGTTTTCTTTTCACCCTAGTACATTCTCAAATGATGATCTATCTGCTTTTATATTTAAACTGGATTTGATTTTTTAAACTAGGATGCTGATGGTCAAACACCATTACACTATGGTAGGTACAGGTAGTTTTCATTAGAGAAATGAGACTTTCTTTCATATAGAGTTTTTTTTTACGAATTAAATTTTCATAATTTACACATTATTTTTCTTTTCATTCCCACACGTAACTAATACAACTTTGGTAAGTTGCATGGGAGTGAAACTCATTCCTTTTCATTATCCAAAGCTTCTTTTAGATCAGGACTTGCATTCCTTATTTTCATGTGTAGTGTCCTACATATAGCTGTAGTAGATACACACATAGGAATGAAGCCCTTTTTGAATGGTTTTCGAGGTAAATAAGTTTAAAACTGTTTTTTTTCTTTTGTTCCACATAACAGCTGCCACCTGTGACTTTCTGTCAATAGTAAAAGAGCTATTACAGTCTGGAGCAGATTGTTCAATTGCTGACAATGACGGCTTTCGACCAGCTGATGTTGCAGACAGTTCAGCAATAAAAGAATTACTTAATACATGAAACCAGGAATCATGAGGCTGTAAGTGTGTATGAAGCTTCAAAAGCTGAAAATCAATGTATTTATTCATGCCTTGCAAAGAATTATTTTATCCATTTCACAATTCAGGATTATTTTTACAACAACATTATTACATGTACATAAGATCAGAAATGGCTATTTGAAGATCGCTACCAAGTGAAAGGACAAGCACATGAAATCCTAAAAAGTTATCAAACTTGCTTTGGCATTCAATTCTTATCACAATATTTATATTGAAGACTTCTGTAAAAACAGACAACAGATTGAAGTGTTGATTATTTTATGAACAACCTCAGTAAATTAGAAAAAAACGCAAAGTAAAAATCAATTGTCTACATTGTCTCATTCTTGTGATTTTGTTAGTAAAATAATTAAATATTCGAAATACTACCTACAGGTTCTTACTCCTCTTATCTATAAATAATTTTAACCCCTGTGCCTAATTCCTAAAGTNCGATACAGAAGACTTAGAAAAGCTCTTTCAGGCGGCGACAGAATTTGTCAGAACTATGCGTAATTTGAGCGACGAGAAAAAGCTTGCTTTCTATGCTTTATACAAACAAGTTAGTCCATTAAATTTCTTGTAAACACCCTCTTTGTTAATAGCATTTCCCCAATTACTTTTTGTTTTTGAAAACCTGTCAGAACACATTTCTCTCATCATTTTCGGCGAATTGCTTCTTTTCTTTTTTATGAGTAAGGCAAAAGAAGGACCATGCAATACGTCAAGACCAGGATTTTGGGACATTGTTGGAAGGGCAAAGTGGTAATTCTTTTTATTTTTATTATTATTTTTTTAAAAAAAGTGGCAATTCTATGTCTTACATTAATATATATATATAAGTCTACATTTACAGACGTACATCCTAAGGAATTCCCTATCATTGGTCTGTACACAACATAATTCTCAGTGAATGAAAAGAGAAAGGATGGATCTTAAATTTGTTGGTACTTAGACCAATATTTAACCTGAAATGATACCAGTGTCCACATCAACCCTTCAGATTCCTAGAGTCATTATTTGTGCGAGTAGCACTTTGGCTGATAAATGAATGGATATCACCTACTTCACACAAATAGCTTAATTTTAGGTAGTGAAAACCCTTTCAGGATTCATGTCAAGATATCAATTGGTGAAATCTAGGAATACCTTATAGCTTGACAGTGGCTGAATTATGTAATATGTAATTGTTAGGTGGGGCCAAATGGGTTCTAAATTTTCCACTTTATGTGTATTTACTATTGACTCTTAGTTCTCTATCCCCTTTCAGAGCAGAAAAACGTAGTAAGCATGCAAGAGTTTTGACTGTGCACCAGGCTCCAAGTTTAAAAAAATGGCGAGAATTTTATTGATCGTGTAAACAAAAAAAAGTTACGAACTTTGTATGCTTTTCCAATATTCCCGGAAAGCAGCAACATTTTAGCATCACTAATGGAAAGCTAGTGTATTGTTTTTGTGGGGAATCAATCTTTTTCAGACAAAATCAACCTAAAGACGGTTTCCGAACCCTTTATATTCCCGCGGTATACCAGAAATTTTGTCGACAAGACACATTTTATCCACAAATACTCTTTACATATTGCATCCATATAAACAACCCACTGAATATATAAGCAAGAGAGCCTCTGAGCAGGTAGGGGGAGACTTGTTTTCTTTACAGTGAAATGCTGAAAAAAATTCATGCTCGCCCCGGTATGAATAAATCAACCGAGCGACATCCTCATGTACCTCATTAGAGTCCGCTGTTCCTTCCAACCACTGTGAACCATTGCAGCTTCTTGCAGCTTACATTATTACTTGGGTCCACAAGTAGAGCTAGGATAGGCAGAAAGCTACGCAGTAGGTTTTTCAGCTCTGAAGTACCCCCTTCCCTAGTAGCTTTTGTTTTGTAGTGATTTTTTTTCTATTGTAAAACATTATGCAATGTGATGTTATGATAGAAGTAACTTCTCTTTAATTTTCTCCTGAATCCTATCACCCTGTGAAACCCACTTCTTGTTAAATGTCTTTCCCCAGCTACCTCTCCTACTCCAATTAATTAATAGAAATTGTTCTCCCAGAATAGAGGTAGATCTCTCTGGCTAGGATTAGGAAATGAGTAGAAAACTGATTCAGGCTCAGTTTCTCAAAAGGAAATCAGAGTGCTCGAATATCTCCCACAATCTTTAATGGCTAATTCCCTCTTTGAGACGCACCTGCAGGAATCTTGGTAGTTGTAGTCGTCAAATTAAATATCCAGTTCAAGATGATGAATACAATAACCATGGTTTCCTTTAGGTAAATCTCAAAGGGGGAATTGGCTATTGTCATGTGAACTAAGTCGATCCTTGTATCTCTTATTTTTAAAGGGACTCATGGAAAAAGCTTGGAGAGATGTCCAAGCAAAAAGCCCTAGAACTTTATATCCAGAAACTGTTTGAAACAGACCCAGAATGGGAGGCAAAATATGCCGTCACTGATGACTTGGTGAGTTATTAATATTTTTGCAGTCCATATTGTCAGTCTTCTGTTCATTTGGGTTAAATTTGGGGTGAATTTTATTGCTAAAGGATCTGACACCACTACAAATTACCTTGCTGTACTCAAACATTTTGACACAGACTGTAAAGGAAAGTGAAAAACCTGCTCATAAGCAGACAATGGGCCTTGCTGTCAGCACTCTGCGAGGAGATGATGATGATGATGATATTATAAGGTCTGTACTAATAATCTACTTGTTTTGAAATAAGTTACTTAGACTAATTTACATTAGGGTGAATGATTCAGAAAAGAAACATGCAGGATCAGTACTTCATTGGTATAATTTGTAACCTGATCACTGCCCTGGTTTAACCAGAAACTGAAGTAGCCAGTGGGAAGAACTCCCTCATGTAAGCTATTCTGGTATATATGTGTGCTCTCTGGGATTAGATTTTTAAGCTTCTTGGTCAAAAATGGAGTCTCATTGCTTGTCTGATACTTCTCCTGTCTAATTTTGAAATATTTGTTGTTTCGACATGTTTTGTACAACTTATTTTATATTGGGAAAAGTTTTAGTCACAGTTTTTTATTGGTCACAGTGCCCTTTCATCGATGGCCATTTTAGGCCTACTTTCAGGGGACTATTTGGTCTGATATAATTATATACTAGATTTGTGGTAGTCAGTGAGCTAGCAATGACACACCTAGGACATTCCAAGAGTTTAACCCTTGGCTTAAAAACTACTGAAACCCTTCTGTTGAATTCTCAGAATGTCTGTGATTTGATTTCACTTCATAGTGATACTAACAAGTCAGTGTTTGATTGGTGCAAGGAGGGAAATGCAAAAAAGATGGATGCTCTGCTCACAAGAGAAAACATTAACAGCAAGGACGAACAGGTATTGGGCTGCTGAGCATACAAGGGCATATTTTTGAAAGGTTTATTGGTCTCGTTTTGTTTCTTCTGCAATTTTTTTTTTTTTTCATGCATCTGTATCCCATTTCAACACTCGTACATTTGAGCATTGTCATTTTTTTTTTCTGGCAAGAAGGTCACAGCCCCCCAAGTCAGAAGAGCTCTGCATGTCTGCTTATTTGTATCTGTTATTCTTAGGGGCTGACACTACTTCACTGGGCCTGTGACCGAGGTCATGAAAATGTAGTGACGCACCTAATAAAAAACAAGGCTGGAGTAAACACACAGGTAGAAATATCACTGAAAAGTTTTTTTTGTGGCTCTAAGGACTGAATGGTCTCAGCCTGTCAGCAGTTGGCCATTTCTTGACCAGCAATTAAATCCACAGAATTCTGATTAACTAATATTATTAAAAGTAGAGTTTTATTTCTGTCATGTTAGTTAAAAACTGGTAATTTCCAAGAGCAAGGTAGTGATCTCATTTCAAAAGCTTGTTTTTATAAGATTCAATTCAAAATACCAGTGTTTGTGAGTTCAGAGGACATTTAAAGGCAAATGGAATAATTAAACTCAAATCTGTGTACATGTAGTTACCTGGTCTTTCCACTTAAGACAATAAATCATTCCTACTAACTTTTGTTTCCTTGGTAGTTTTTTTTAGAGAATTGTGTACACTCTTGAGGATTCCTAGTTTTGTGTGAAAATGAGTCTATTTTTTTGTGGCTAATACACAAATTATGTTCAAAAAGTCAAGTCCGATTGCCTGAGGCTAGTGAATTTTACAGCCAGGCTAATGGATTCTATCCTTTGCTTGCTCAGTTGGCAATTGAACGTTTTGGGACAATTGTTTCAGAGGAAATTCAAATTACAGACATACGTACAGAAAAGGGATAAAATATTGTATTAGTTTACTCACTCTTTTTGACATGAGCCGCTGGGGGTACCGGGGAGTAAAATTTCAAATTATTTAATTGTACTAGAAAGAAGTGTTTTGGGGGCTAGTGAGAATGATGTCTGGGCAAGCCTGAGAAGTGGTTTTCTTTTCACCCTAGTACATTCTCAAATGATGATCTATCTGCTTTTATATTTAAACTGGATTTGATTTTTTAAACTAGGATGCTGATGGTCAAACACCATTACACTATGGTAGGTACAGGTAGTTTTCATTAGAGAAATGAGACTTTCTTTCATATAGAGTTTTTTTTTACGAATTAAATTTTCATAATTTACACATTATTTTTCTTTTCATTCCCACACGTAACTAATACAACTTTGGTAAGTTGCATGGGAGTGAAACTCATTCCTTTTCATTATCCAAAGCTTCTTTTAGATCAGGACTTGCATTCCTTATTTTCATGTGTAGTGTCCTACATATAGCTGTAGTAGATACACACATAGGAATGAAGCCCTTTTTGAATGGTTTTCGAGGTAAATAAGTTTAAAACTGTTTTTTTTCTTTTGTTCCACATAACAGCTGCCACCTGTGACTTTCTGTCAATAGTAAAAGAGCTATTACAGTCTGGAGCAGATTGTTCAATTGCTGACAATGACGGCTTTCGACCAGCTGATGTTGCAGACAGTTCAGCAATAAAAGAATTACTTAATACATGAAACCAGGAATCATGAGGCTGTAAGTGTGTATGAAGCTTCAAAAGCTGAAAATCAATGTATTTATTCATGCCTTGCAAAGAATTATTTTATCCATTTCACAATTCAGGATTATTTTTACAACAACATTATTACATGTACATAAGATCAGAAATGGCTATTTGAAGATCGCTACCAAGTGAAAGGACAAGCACATGAAATCCTAAAAAGTTATCAAACTTGCTTTGGCATTCAATTCTTATCACAATATTTATATTGAAGACTTCTGTAAAAACAGACAACAGATTGAAGTGTTGATTATTTTATGAACAACCTCAGTAAATTAGAAAAAAACGCAAAGTAAAAATCAATTGTCTACATTGTCTCATTCTTGTGATTTTGTTAGTAAAATAATTAAATATTCGAAATACTACCTACAGGTTCTTACTCCTCTTATCTATAAATAATTTTAACCCCTGTGCCTAATTCCTAAAGTGCTTTGCATCTTGAAGTTCTGCTTTCCCAAGATCTATTTTGTTTCTCTTAAGCTTGGTTTTTACTAGTGGCACGAGCACAAGCGCAAACACAATAATTCTTATTTCACCATGATAACAGCCTTGATGCAGGCATAAGCACAAGTACAAGCACAAGGATCAAAATTTCTCCTTAGACTTGTGTTTGCGTTTATGCTTGTGTTTCCACTGCAACAGGTGAAAACAAAATACTGCTTAGGCATAACACAAGCACAAGGATACTTGCTACATGTGGTTAAGTTTGGCCAATGAAAACACTGGATCCAGATTACCTCACGCCTAAACAATTTGGAAGGTTTGGATGATTTTGCTTGTGCTTGTGATTGCGTCGAATTTCGTTTTCACTTAAGTAATCTCTATTGCTTGTGCTTGTGCTTGTGCTTGTGCTTGTGCTTGTGCTTGTGCTTGCTTTGTGCTTGTACATGCACTTGTGCTTGCGCTTGTGTTTATGCTTGTGCTTTCCTCACTAGTGAAAACCAGGCTTTAAAGATATATCTTAAAAGAGTTCAGTATGAATCCAGTAAACTTACATGTAACTGGTAATCAAGCATTTAATTTGTCAAGTGCAGTTCTATGGCAGTAATGATCCATTCAGGGATTTGTGTTACCCTTGTTTTAATTAGGTGCAAGTCTAACACATTATACGTGATAAATACTCCACTCAAATATTTTCTGTTCAATACAGCACAGTTCTCTATTCTCTGGTTATACTTTGCTCAACTGAAGGCTCTTAAAATACTACCCACTTAGCAAAAAATAAAATGCCATATTAAATAGAAAATTTGTAATGACAAAATATGTGCATTTATGATTAAAATTTAATTCTTACCATGGGTTTTCTAAATCCTACATGATGCATAAAGATGTGCAGTAACACAACCTACATACAGTACTCTAATACAATAATTATTATTGCGAGTGCATGATCCGACTGTGGTCATTGATCTTCAGTGGTGTTCTTTTAGCCAGTCCAATAATTGTGGAACAAAATATGTTATGATAATATCTGCACCTGAAACACAATAATACCAGGGCAATTAACATGATCATAACATTTCAATTTGTTTAGTACATGTAGTTGTCAGACCTTAGATGGCCTTTGAAAGATTCATGACACCAGGTTGTTTTTGTTTGAAAAGCTTTTATATATGTCAGTTTATTATTTAATTTTCTTTTGAAGAGGACAGTGATGACATGAGGTCATCGAAAGCTCATGTAACGTTCTTATTGTTAATGTTCATTTTCAAATGTCTTTCTAAACTGACCCTATTAGCAGCTTTTTAAACCTGGCAAGCAATCAAGCTTGAAACAAACTGCTAACTCCACAATAACAATTATATTATTGTCATCTTGATGCTAATAATTACCTGCCCTTCTCATTGATGTTAAGCATTCTAACACTATGGTCTTCAAGTCAAAAGCTCCAGCTTTGCTTCCATGGTACAGCATGGCAAACTCTCCAGAAACCTGCAGTAATGATAAAGTTGCCTCAGGATCAGTTAGGCCTAGTCTCAAGGATTTACCCTTCAGTGATTTAAGTTTCGCTAGCGACAGAGCCAGAGTTGTAGTTGGAGTCCTAAGAAAGCTTATGACCTAGTGAAAATCAAAAATCAGAGCCGTAAGCAGAATCATAAGCTCAACAGAATTGGAGTCAGAAGAATCAGAACGTTTCCATTTCTTCTGATTCTGTTAATAACTCTGTTGCTTACGATCTAGTGAAAACTAGATTGTTGGAGTCAGAAGCAGAAGCGGAAGAATAAACCAATCACAAGGCCTGGAATCTAACATTGTGATTGGTATATTCTTCTGCTTCTGCTTCCGACTCCAACAATCTAGTTTTCACTAGATCGTAAGCAATGCAGTCATAAGCAGAAAGGGCGTTCTGCTTTCGACTATGTCGGTTTGATTTTCACCAGATTGTATCGCTCTACACTTCTGATTACGACTCCGTCGCTAGTGAAAACCAACCTTTATTATCAGCTATTTCGAACTATTTTTTGTTTCCCCTGAGAGTTTGAAAAAGCAGGGTTCAACTGTATATACTGGGTTCATACAGGTCCTGGAAAACCTGGAAAGTCCTGGAAAAGGGCTACTGGTCCTGGAAAGTTCTGGAAATCTGTTAAACTCAAGTAAAAAATATGAAATGTATGGCAGACAGTAAGGAGAATTAACATTAAGATCTRYGGAGTGAAAGGGTTAATGTGAATTTTAGAGTCCTGGAAAAATCAATCTGAGTCCTGGAAAAGTCCTGGAAATTTGTTTCTGAAAAAGGGTACGAACCCTGTATATACAAATCCAATCTACTAACCTTAGTACATTTCTGCACACACTTACAAACTTGATAGATGATAAAAAACCTTATAGTATAGGTCTGCAATGTGTGCAAAGGCCAATAGCCACCAAGCGGCTGAAGTCCTCGTCAAGCATTGTCTGCTCATAATGATTCTGAGTGAAATGTTTCAAATGTACAAATTAGGAAATGTTGTTTACAAACCTGGTAAATTGCCAGAGGCAAGTCAGGAAACTAGAATTTAATCAAGAGTACACAAGTTAGTTGTGCTTGCGCCACCCTTGGTAAGTGCAGCTTTCCCAATCTTCCTTTGGGAAAAAAGCTAAGGGTTTCAATTATTTAGGTTATAAGAATTCAAGTGGGTATATCTACATGTGCTGCCAACTCACCTCACAAAAAGGTGACAAACTGATCTTATATTGCACAGCCATGCACTGACTAAACCTGTTTGTTTCTCATTGGGAGGCTCATCTGGAGAACTCAGTGACCTAATTGCCCACCAAGAAACTCATATTTTTGTAGGTAATATGACCACAAGTAAAATTATTGAACAAATTTCCAGTATACTGTAAGAGCTGGCAAGGAAGCCTATTAATTAATAAGAAACCATAAAAGGCTACCTCTAAGTTAAAATGATTTGTAAGGTTTCCCTGTTAAAGTGATTAAGATAGCAGTAGCTGAAGATAGACAGCAAGAATTAAAAGGGTAGTTTCTACAGACTGAAATAATTTCTTTAGTTTCGCTTTGATAGACACAAGAAATTGCGCTAATGATACGGTACTAAAGTGTAAAATAGTTTGGTTGTTAATAGTTTATAGAAAAACAATCTAAACCTGTAGTACCTTATCCTTAGTCTGTCTCACAATATCAAGATATGCCATTCCTGGTTTCACCATCAGCATGTCTGCACCTTCTTTGACATCACGCTCCTAGACATTTTTTCAAGTAACACCAGCAATGATGTAAAAATTTGACACGCTCAGACATGACTACAAGTATGTAGTAGTAAATGGTAAAATCTGAGATTGAGATGCAGTGACCTTTGTTTCAAAATCTTGAGAGAAAACCAAGCAGAGAACTTGCTAAACTTAGTAACAGTATCCAAAAATCTGACCCCAAGCTGCACTGGTAATGACACAGCAAAACGTACCACTGCTCTGGCTGCAAGACCCTTAGAGCCTAATGGCAACTGGTAACATCTCCTGTCGCCAAATGCTGGTGCACTCTTGGCTGCCTCTCTGTAAATGAATGAGGTTTACCTTAAGAACAAAAAAATGAAAGACAGGTGGTCGAAACTCTAGTTCGCATTGGAAGCAGAGTTTGCACTGTTCCTATTTCCAAAGGCATTCTTTTCATCTTTGGGCAAGGAATTTTGTAATGGAAACATTTTAATGTTCGGGCTTAATCATGATAATTGGGATATGATGTATTTAATGCCACAAGAAAAACACAATCTCACAAGAGGCTTGAAAGATTAGTGACAAACCCTGAGAGTCGTGACAGAGAAGAAATTAGTTTGCAGCTTACCTGAATGGACCATAAAAACTAGAGGCAAACTTGGCACTGTAGCTCATTACTGCAACCTAAAAGAAGACAATTATAGCACATTGTAGTGACATGAATATTTACCCATACACACTACATTTTATCTGCTCTGCTATATGTGCTGTGTATACAGTTGAGAAACCAATCTTGCCCCCCGGACCATGCATTTTTGGTCAGCAGTAACTGAATGGCTGGTGCTCTGGACAAAATTGAAAACTGGAACCAGAAAATCCTGGATCAGGATTGATTGTGCACATGCATGGAGAGAGTTACCACTGTAACTAATGCTGGTTCACCTTAAAGGAGTTACGTCACGGTTTGCACATACTGAAAAGTTTAGCCTCAATTTTTCAAATTCGTTGTTTGTAATCCGTGTTAATCATCTCCATCCTTAGCCATCCTTGTTCCTTTATGGTTTATCATTATCTCTTTGATGTTTCTCTATCTTATTAAACTGTTGTTTTCAGTTTTCCTACCATTTAAAGGTAATTTTGTATGTGGCCAAAATAACTCAAAATACTATGACTGAGCTCCTTTAAGATTTCTCTCAAAGGTCTCAATCTCTTGGTACTAACCAAAAGGATCGCAGCCGCTGTGAACAAGATTGTTGAGAAACAAACAACATTCATTTCTGACAGGAATCCTTTACTATTAATTTCTTGTTTAAGATTTCATAATAATTTGATTTGAAAGTGCCTCGGGAGCTCAAACATGTATCAAGTGATATCTACTATTTAATTGGTGCATAATATACATAATTAAAAGTTATTATTATTATCTACTTTTTGTATGATTTTAATTTTTCAAAGTTAAACAAGAACCACAGACAACAATACATTCAAGCACCAGTGTTTCAAATTACCTTGTAAATATCTCACTACCACTACAGTAACTCTGAAGAACTACCTGAGAAAGCACTTTTTCATTCTGGTATTATATGGTACCTTTCCTCCATAACCCATCCTGTGTAAAATTTCCTTAATGGCTGCAATACGGTTGTCCATCATGTCTGATGGGGCTATCACATGACATCCTACATGATATCAAGCAAGATTAAATTTAGAAATCTGCCACAGTCCTTAAAGCTGGTTATACAGTTAAGTCATCCTACTGTGGATAAAAGACTTTGCCAAGCTGGCATGGCGAGCAAGGGTGGGGTACAGTGACAGTGCTACGTGTAGCTTCCTACCAATGTGTCCCAGCTTTGAATCCTGAACCCAGAATTATGATACAGTGGGTTGAATTTACTGAAGGTTATCTTAGTTTAGTGTCCAATGCCACAAGAGATAAAAAGAAACCAAACAACAAAGAAGCTAACAAGTGACTGAGGAAAATTTTAAAATTATCTGTCAAATATTTCAACTGTGTACCAAAATCTGAATCTTAATATTGAACATTCATACCTGCCTTGGCATAAGATAAAGATATTTCTGCTATTCGTTTGATACTTGCTGGATTGTTGATAGAACCATCAACATTGAGAATACCTGATATATGAAAAAATAATATGTTTTAATAATAACAAAGAGGACGTTTCCTTGTAAGTTGATGCCTTCTAACTGCACTTTTCAAAATTTTTATTTAACATGTCAACATGATTAAAACTCTTAACTAAAAGAAAACTAATTATTGAAAAACAGAAAGGACTTACCACAATGGCCATGGGTTGCATAAGGACAAATGCAAACGTCACAGCATATCAGTAGATCAGGATACAAGGATGATAGCTTCTTAGTGGCCAGGATCACAGGGGAATCCTCACTGTCAGCATTGTAACCATCACCAGTCTACCATTACATGTGAAGATAAACCAATCAAACCTCTAATAACTTCCTTGAACACCTGATAATCTGATACAAACCTCTAGGCACATCTTTTGCTGGCTCCTTGTTTCTGGATGTAATTATGGCGAAGGGTCACACATGCAGTGTCATATTAATTAGTTTGGATCACAAATTGTCAAAGTAGTAGTACTCTAATATCAAACTAAACATCCCCAATAATTAGAAAGCCTAAATGACAATTAAGCAGCAAATGTTATCATTTTGGTGTTTTCACTAGCTGCTGAGGAACAGTTCAAACAGTTGAAACGAATAACAAAACAAAATCAGTGAAAGTAGCTACTTCTTTCTTGAGTTGTATTTTTGGCAGACGGGACCCAAGACCAATCTAAAAAATGAGCAAGTTATTAATATAAAGCAATACACTGTTTACCAGCAGGCATGATTTGTTACCATGGATGTGCCCCCAAAGAAATGTTTTAACTTACAGGATATTTAGTGCCTCTACTGAGCTTTTCTCTAATGCGTGAACAAACACTGGATACCCTGACACCCATTTGGTTTACAATTTGCTCACCAAGTATTTCTACTACAGCTAATTACACTGGACAAAATTCTGACCTTCCAGTAAAGTGTTGGAAAGGTATGTTAATATCCGGAAATATTCTGGTAGACACATACCTTATTAAGCCTGGAGACAACTCCAAACAATAAAACAACCTTAAGTCCTTTCTCTACCAAGGGTGTAACTATCTTTTCTATGTTGTTAACTCCAAACCTTTAAATGACAAGAAAGTATATCTAGACGGTATCAGAAGCAAAGTATTGATAATGTAGTTGATTATCAGATCTGCAGAGGTCAGACTGGTGTATCCAATTGGCAGTGTATGGTGGGGGGAGACAGGGGGTGAGAGCCCAGGAGAATAGGGGACGGGAGGGCGGGAAGCGGGAGTTCTCAAAAGACGGGAACCGTTAATAAGCATAAATAAAATGCTTTCAAAAACAAGAACCCAAAATGTTATTTGATTTACAAAAAACAAAAATTTATCCTTGGGCTTAAAAACTGAGGCTTACTTCCAGTAAAATTGGAAACCCATTAACAGTGGTTATGTCATCAGCATTGAAATTTTGTCGCTTAAGCTGTCAAAAAAGGTGAATGAGAGGAGCAAGGTTGAAAACAAAGGAAAAAAAGGAAATGCCTAGGGAGTGTGCAGCTAAATGACTGGGATGTGTTTTGAGTCTCCTTATTTACAGGGTATGGGAGAAAGATGGCCAAGGGCGAGAGTTGGGAGATAAAGGTACGGGAAGCAGGAGAACAGGGTGCGAGAACGGGAGGTTTTACAATCCCTGTTCCCTCCTCCCTCCCCCCACTGTATAGTATTTGAAGACTGCAGACTTTTTAACTGATATTTGTATAATTGTTCATATCCATCACTGAGAGCTAACAGTAAACAGGGTAACCTGTGTGCTATTCAGATTCAGGCTAACCAGAGTGCTATTTAGGCCTGTATTTACATGCAGGCCTACATGTAGTCTGCAGTCTGCAAATGTCATACACTGTCCAACTGGCTACCACTTATGCTTAAAATTCAAGGCCTGATCTTGAAATCAGCTCCTTTATCATTATCCTTGATAATTACCATTATAATATAGTGTACCTGTATTGCCCAGGGAGGCTTGATATTTCCTCCTCTGCATCAGCTTCATCTCTACAAAGACAGTAAGTTTTGGTATAAACTCCTGGAGCCATGAAAGGTTATAACTGTGCATATCCCTTGGTTATCTGCTACCTACATGCCTCGATCACAGAGGAAATAACACCTAACGATCTTGTAATGAATGCCTGAATGTTTTCCTCCTCGTTGCAAACCCCGTCCTTGGGAGGCGAAGGGGAATTATCATGAACTTTTTATTACAAGACAATTTCCGTACATCTAATCATTATATGCACTTACGAAATGAAGAGAGGGTAAATCAAGTTCTTGTTCGTGATTTCTGTATTAGTGCTTTGCCAGCTCCTGGTTGTGGGATGGTTATAACCACCATGCAGAGATGCTCCGCACTGAGACGAGTAAGGCGCCGCCATTTTAGAATACAAATATGCCTTTATTATAGAAGTTCAGCGGCTGATGTGAGAAGGGGAGGTTGCATCATGTAATATCCATAAACTGACTTGCCTGGTCAACATCTGAGCAGCCTTAATCTCTTAATTTTTCTAAATTATGTTCACTTTGATAGTTGTTTGGAAAACCAAATTTGGTCCAAATTAGGTCTAGGTACATGAAACATGACAAGATTGACCAAGTTAACCATATTTGCCTTTTGGGACGTTTCATTTGGGATTACATGACAATATGACCAAAAAAGATCGCGGGCGCCAAGTTCCCCATGATTTATGACTTTCTTTACTTCTTGACAGTATTTTTGCGCTGTTTGGGTTGCTGTGGGATTTAAGTTTTCTAGACGAGTACTTGGAGAAGTAAGTATGCAAATAAAGTTTAAGTATATAGGTGTAAAATAGCTGGCTTGGAAATCTTTCAACATTGTAAGTTTAAATAACTTATGTTGTTTATTCAATATTGCTGTCAAATCATGTTTTTAGATAAGAGTGTAAAATAAGGTATGTAATGTAGTGATTATTAATTTGTTGTGCCGGCAGAAAACATATACATGCCAAAGTATTTTAAATTCTATGCTAAACATTCATCAAGATTTATGAAGTACAAAATTTTAAACTTTAGCCATGGGTAGAGTGCAGTTCACTTGAACCTCACCTGGAAGATACGCCAAAATTTAAAGGATTGTAATCAAAAAAGCAAATTTTCATACCAAAGATCTTTGGTGGTCTAAGACAGGAAGATCTATGAGACCTGAAACTTGATACTACATTTTTTTTTTTTTTCTTTTTTTCATTTTCAGTCATGGTTAACGACTGTTGAAAGAAATGTAAATGAGAGTCATCCATATGACAGGCAATGATACAAGTAATAAAATTTTGTTCTTTTTATGTTATTGTGTCCAACTTAGAAATATTACCACGTTCAAAGATGATTGAAGTCACATGTAATGATCGTCTTGGGAAGAAAGTTCGGGTCAAGTGCAAGTATCCTTTAAATACATGGGACAGTATACACTAAATGGATTCTGAACAAAATGAGTTTTTTAACTCAAAAGGCACTTTAGGGCGACTACCATCACACTATTGCGACATTACTCCCTGGAGGGTTAAATTGGTGAAAGTAAATAGCTGTTTTTAAGGACATTTTACATTTTAAAATCTAAAGACTATTGGCACCTTGACCCTAGGTACATTACACCTCCTTGGAACGTTTTTCATCCACCAAAATGCCTTTAAAAATCACATAATATGTGATTACCTTGCCAATGGCTGTCAGTCCATTAGCTGAAATGGATTATTGTTCTGTGAAAATATCATACTGCCCTGAGGGTAACTGGATAAATTCATATAGAAAAGAATTCAGGAAAGGTTGACATACACATGTATGCCCATAATGGTTGAATTTATAGGGTTCTAAGTGTCTGTCTACTGAAAGTGGATTTTAGTTTGAGTCCACCTAAATAAACCTCAGTGGTGGTTACATTTCATTATGAAGAGGTTTCTACTAATGGATATTCAGCAGGGAAAATACTCTGATTAATGACATCAGTATTGAATAAATATATTAAGCAATCACTAATAGACCAATTTTGATATGTTAAAGTTCAGCCTAAAACAGTAGATTTCAGTACGAGGCTCCTGGGGAATAACTACAGAGTTTATGGGGTTTATTCCCCAGAACCTCATGCTGAGGTCTATTGTGTTAGGCTGAATTTTAATATATCAAAATTGGTCTATTGAAAAAGAATCACCAAAGCTTTGTGTGTCACCAAGACACTGCTATATACATAATAACGAAACTTAGTAACATGAATAAGCTTTTGCAGAAACCTTGACTTTGTTTTTAGTCCTGATGATACTGTTGGAGACTTGAAGAAACTTATTGCTGCTCAGACAGGAACCAAATGGGACAGGATAGTGCTTAAGAAGTGGTAATTAAACCTGGATTAACACTTCTAACACCTTAGGCTTTTAGCTCACAAGAGGTTTTAAATAATATTCCAGAATAGAATATGTTCACCAATCGTAAGTACCCCTTAGCACTCTAGAGGCACAGTGGCGTCATGGTTAGTGTGCTCGACTTCAGATCGAGCAGTCCAAGTTTAAACCCTAGCCAGGGGCATTGTGTTGTGTTCACACACTTTACCCTGCAGTGCCTCTCTCTACCCAGGTTTATAAATGGGTACAACTCTGCAATGGACTGCAGCACTGTTGTAGCACTGTTGACAAAAGTCAATAACCTGTACCACATCTGTCCTTTTCTGCAGGTATACCATTTTTAAAGATCACATTACACTTGAGGATTGTATCCTTTGATAAAAGATCATCGCTATTCTAACAAGAGGTCTCTTTTGATCAAGACAGTATTTCCAGCTTAGTGCACTGTACAATATTGCAGTGCAAATAAATCTTGTTGATTAAAGTCAAACTCATCTGTTGAAATGGTGTTAACCACTAGTGGTATTTTGTGCCTTATCTGGAAAGCTTCAGCCTCACTTTCCAAAATCATCATTGAACAACTATCGCCACTGGATAGGATTTCAACACACACTTAACATGACTCCATGATGCTTTATGCTTATGATTATAAGTTATTAGTTTGATTGTATATAGTGATTTGTAATAGCAAGATTGACTTGATTTTACAAATTTCAATTAAGCTCAAAATACAGTCACATGAGACTACTTTCCTTGAGCTATTTTGTGCATGATTTTCATCATGTAACACTCAGTTCTTTTTGTTAGCTCTGTGGTCAAACATTGATGCGTTGGACTAAGTGTGATCACTGACCAGTGTCTTTGCAAATGTATTCTTGGGCAAGAGACTTAAATCTCACACCACCTCTCTCCGCACAGAAGCGTGAACAGGTGCTGATGAACTTTTGGCAAAGCCTGATTAAATTCTGCGGAAGCAGTAACCTGCAGTGGACTAGCTTTCCATCAAGGAGGAGTATGGGGTGTAGAAAGTCCTTGTCACTCCTTGTTATGAAAACCAGGCTAGGCTCTGGTGTTGTGAACTAAATCTTCTTATGGGAACAGACAATACTGATCAGCTCTATGTTAGATAACTTTACAGCGTTTTGCATTAAACATTACACAGCACTTTTCCTTGATTTACCACTTCAGATGAAATTCACGATGGAATGAACTTAGAGCTGTACTACCAGTAAACATCCATACTAAAGACAAAATGCCAGATCTTACTGCCACATCAACAACATGAGAGACTTAAAACAAAAATAATCAGGGGCACCCAACGGATCGTTTTGGTAAATTATCTATTTCGAAGGCCTTTAATCCCCTCTGATTTTCGGAAGGGAATTGTCACCTCCAACTTTCGTGATATGAGAAATTTAATGTCTGTTGTTTTCGGATTGTAAAAACTGTCGTTTTGGGTACTGAAAAAAGGTCAGCTATTACTGTCAGAAAGGTGATAAGACCTAAGGTTTTCGGGGAATGGACAAAAAAGCCCTAATAAATTTGAGAATACTCAAGTTCCCCTAGAATAACAGAGCAGGTAAACTTTTTTAGCGCAACCTAAAATTAACCTACAGAACTTTAAAAGCACTCCAGATAGCCTAAAACAGCGTTTAAAAGCATTTGAGAGAAAACGGTCATTGGTTGCCCCTGAATAATAGCAAACACTGTAGTTCATATTAGTTCTAACAGTGATGGTCATACAACTTTGACTGTTTTTCAGGTCAGTCACCATGACTGCAAATTGTATAATAAAGTAATAAGGACTGACCTGGTCTCGGACTTTTTTTTTTGATAAAAGAGAAAGCTGGACTAGGGTAATAAGAAATCTCATGAAGCAAAAACAACCAAGAATGAGAAGAATTCTGTTTGAACTTGATTACCTAGAACATACTGCACGCATTTTTGGAAGAAATATGTTGAAACTCAGTAGATCTAAAACTAAAACGTTATTACTTCAGTAAAAAAAGAAAACAATGGGAAACTCCTCAGCTCTGCCCTTTGTACAGATTTCATGGCTTTTATTTTCCACTTCTTATTTGAGAAAATGGGGAGCAAGGAAAGGGTTCTTTGTGATCCGCTATTTGCAGGCATTTAGAAAATATTCTTTTCTATTAGTCCAAGGAAGATTTCTAGTTTTTTCATGCAGAACATAATCTGTAGCAAAGATCCCGCACTTAATTTAACTGTATGAATAATACGATCTTTGAAATCAGCATTGTAAATTAAAGCAAATGATAAGGTCACTTTGCTCTTAATGAAGTCTGATAACTTTGTATGTACAAAATTTAAGCCCTCGTTTGTTTGGTGTTTGGGTATTAGAAGTTTGTGGCGAAATGTCTTGAAAGCTTGACAGTTTGATAAGCTTCTCGTTTTGAAGGAATGTCTAATTTTCGGACTGGGCTGAAAGTCGTTGCAGTTTTTTGCCAGTTGATTCTGAAATGCCAGTCTTGAGATGTCCGTTTCCAATCATTGAAGTTTTCAGTATCCGCTTTGTAATAACTTCCAGTACATTGTACTATTCAATGAAAAAGTACAGCAACCAGAAGCTAAAGCTGTTCTACAGTTATGTTGTCCCTAAAATAAATTATTTATTGGACTGTATTGACGCAAGTTTAACGTTTTACCAGAGTCCTGGAGTGTTACTGTCTTCTTAGCATGTCATTAGCATGTCAAATACCTTTTGCTCGCAACCAGAAACTAATCACGTGCTGAATAGGCTTGCCACTTCCATTTCATAACATAAAATGTAGGAGCAACCACGCGTTTTTTAAAGTTATTGATCCTTTTTGAAACTTTTTAATTACGGTGCCCGTTACATTTTTTCCTGTCACTTCCCCAGTAAGTAAAACATTTGCGTATCTCGCACTTGTCTTGCGCGCGCACTACGCCATCTGCAGGTACATGTTTACAGTTGCATTTCGGTATAATTTTCGACAGATTACAGCTAGCTTTTCAGCTGGAAGAAGTTAACAGTTAGTGGTTAGCGCTATGCTGTAGGAGACATTCTAGAGGGAAGATAAAGTGCTTTTAGATATCCTTCGAATGCAAAATTGTTAGAATAACTTTGTACATTT